ATTCTGTGTAAACTTGTCGGGATGCAAGACCCCGGACGCAGTGTAACATCGTAAATCACCCTGGGGGTTGGACCTCTCGGAAGCGAGACTCGACAGTGAGCTCCGCCAGCCGGTTGCCTCCCAGGCTACCGCTAACTTGATAAACTTCTCCTTACTATTAGGCTGGCTTTCCTTAATAGGTAAAGTTTAGTTTATATAACCCAGAGAGCTTTCACAAAGTAGTGGTGACTGTTTAAGATGTTTATGCAAGAAGAACTGCAGAATCCGGCTGCTCTCATTGGAGGCGGGATGCCTTATACTCGTTTTAAAGAGATCTTATAAACATAAGAATTTTATTCGTTAAGTAGTAATGCATGATTAATTATAAATTGCAAGCAGATTGTGACACAACTCCATGTAGAATTCATGATTAAAGCTAATTTTTTAACGTTTCATGTTAGAATCCAAGAGGGTTACTCGCAAAATACTCTGCAGGAAAAGGATTTGGATTGGCACACATGTCGCCACTCTGAATGGGAAAATCAAGATTAGCGTGTCAACATAACGATATACTTAGGAATTACGTGGGTTCTGATTGGCAGTTGCAAATTGGTAGATGATTGTGTCACTATAGGCTGTTCTACTGGCAAGCTAAAAAAGTCGTAAACATCTTTGTGGGAAAGAGACCTTTAACCTACATATGAGACTCTGGTCCAGGTTCTAACTTTTCACAAAGAAGCTGGTCGAATTCCCAATCATAAGGATCAGAAAATCTAAAATGAGATAGAGCTCTTGTGGCGTGAATCCGCTACATTAAGAGAATGAAAAGCTCCACATGTTTGATTATACCTAATATTTCCTGTTATCCGAATGTTTTCCAACAAGCGAAAAAGAAGAAAATAGTCAGGGCGAGTATAATAGTTGAGTGTGCTGGAATATAATGTTTGAAGGCAAATCTGGATTGAGATCAAAACATCGAAAATTAGGGAGAAATTGTACTTTAAATGTTTTTGAAATATAATGAGTTGAACTGGACAGTTTTCGAGAAGCACTTCTGCTGGTGTGGTTTTCTTGGTATCCAGTATCTCTTCAGGACTACTGCAAAATGATTTTAAGCACAAATGGCAAAGGCTAGATTGTGTACGATACGATTATGTAAAATTAAGGATTGATGTTTGTGCCTAATCTGATTTTTGTTCGTGCACTAGAAGATGTCAACAATTGTCATATTGATTTCCAGGAAATTACATTGCAGTTGCGAAACAACTTACGGTGCATGCGACCATGGCAGAGATCCTCTTAATTCCGCTAGTATATGTAGCAAACTCCACAAATCATCCATGCGGCCTTGTTCTCCCCTTTCTTGACTATTTACGGAACAGTATCGTAACGTTCCTCTACAATTTACTTTTTTTCATGCAAAACTAATACTTTGTTATTCTG